CAGGTGATGAGTTATTACCCGCCCCCCGGCTTCCTGATTGGCCAGAAAGCTGGCTCCATGCTTCCTCGTTACCCGGTGATGAGGGAGCATGGTGATGGCTTCCAAGCTAATCAGGAAGCCGGGCTGCGAGTCATTACATGCTGCCCGGCTTCTTTAATGGGACTTTCGGTATCGTCGAGTACCGAAAAAATATATATCGGTACTCGTATTTAATACCGAAAAACGGGAATTGGTGCATCCCTAGATTGAGCAATTTGTGCCTCTCAGATAAGTAACGACTGTCACCAATGATCTTTTTAGCTATCCCCAAGGGGGAGTGGGGGAATCTTCCTAACGACTATACATTTAAGGAGCATTCATTCCACTGACCATCACAATAATGTACCTTGAGTTGAATAGATATAGCTATTTTTAGCAGAGGTTCCTTGAAACACTAGTTATTCCAAGGGCTCCTCTATAATAAAAAGGTTGTGAAATTCTGATATAGAACAGTAAATACATTTTTGTACAATGTGAATATTTGCTGCACAGACTCAGTCTACATATTTGCTTGCCCAGTACCAAATGTTATTTTATTTAGACAGTTATGCACACATTACTTTCCCCTAATGAAGAAAATGCACAGTTCACAAACGTAATTCACATGTGAGGACATGAAATATAGAAGAAAGATTCCATTGCCCCCAAAGTTTTGTTAGCATTGTATGTTTACACTGGCAGGAATTACACTGCAGCTGGGACAGGGGTCAGCTGAACTATCATCTATTCACCGCCTTCTGTGTCCCAGGAAACTACATAGCTATGCAATCACCGGGTGAAAATAAACACTATAATGCACCGGCAGATTAGCAGTAGGCATACTGCTGGGTTTTATTTACTTCATAGCTCTTGCCTTAGGTGTCCTCTGGCAGAGTCACTAAGCTCCTTCTCCATTGCTTGCTGGAAGTGATCTGAAACCGATCCTCAGTGTGCTTTCCCAGGAACAGCTGGGCACTTTCTGGCGTTGCCTCTTCCAAATGCATACTGGATACAATCGAGCGATTACAATGTTTGGTGTCTTTAGCATCAGAGTTTTTATTCATCAAATTGAATACAGCTTCATTTTGAAAATAACTGAATTACTTGATTGAATATTGCAGATTTTTAGGATTACGCCTGTTTTGATCTAAAAGGATTGTTTTAAAAAGGAGCTGTATAAAATGGATATATCTTTATTTATTCTGTATATCGGAGGAGTCATGTGGTGTATGGATAATGGTTTAAAGGAGGTAACCCCCAGCAAAGTACCAGCTACTGAATATGTGGTTGAACATTCAAAAGATATACCAGCCTTTATGTATGGCTTAGCATTTAATATGTACGCAGTACGGAGTACATTGGCAGAGTGCTTAGACTTATATGTGGGATAAAATGTGCAGTGACACAGCTCTGCTGCCCCTTCCTTTGATTATCAGGACAAGCAAGCAAAGTGTTCAATTTTCACATGAGTGTTACTTGCAAGAGTAAGTTGATCCTATCATAGAGGTTCTTTAACAGCACTTTTTATGGAAAACTAATTTAATTAAATGGATGCTCTAGATGCAGTTGTAAGTATTATTATTGTATAGGATTTATATATTGTGCAGATAAAAAAGGAAAGTAGCATAGTTACAATACAATTCAAAACTAGAGGGTTAGGAGGCCCTGACCGTGAGAGCTTATAATCTAGAATGGAGGGGCAAGTGATAGCAAAGATAGTTAGTAGCTGTGTGCGGATGAATTGTTTGAGAAAATAACATTTCAGTTGTTAAGTTGAGGCAGGGAAGGCTTCCCTGAAAAGGTGAGTAGAAGATAGCCCTATAGGTTGAGGTAAGGTGGTCCAGTGGAGAAGTCCTGGAGGAGTTGACAAGAGAGCAGTAGGTAATATGAGGGAATGAATAAAAGAACAAACAAACTTTAGAAAACACTGGTATTGTAACCTTTACACATATGTATGGTATACATTGGGCTTAAGAAGGGAGCAATGTTAAGACAACCTTCTTAAATCAAATCACTTTGAAGTGTATATTCACATCAGGGAACTAAGGTTAAAACAATCTACAGTATGTGGCTGCTATAGAGTACTTTAGTACAAACATCCCCCCTCCCACTTCATTTTGGCTGGCAGACCCACAGGCAGTAGTTTGTAGAGAGTGAGCTTCCTTGTCTCAGCCTTTCATGTGCTGGAAGCATGTTTAGACACAGGGGGGAATTATTGAAAGTGTCTGAGACAAGTTATATCTCAACTGGTGCCATTGCCTATAGCAACCAGTTAGCTTCTATCTTTTTCCACGCAGCTTAGGAAATTAAAATGTAAAAGCTGATTAGCTGTGCCTGAGGTGAGACAAATTTTTACTTAGACACTTTTTCCCACTCTGCATGCCTCCAATATACAGAGACATAACAAGCAATTGGCACAAAGTTATTGCCACTGTTTGCTCTTAATTTATGCATATTGGAAGCATAAATAAATGCACATTACACTATATATATATATATATATACACACATATATACATATATATATAATTCTTTTTTTTTATATATTTGTGTGTGTGTATTGGTATATTTTGTCTATTTCCCAGATCACAGTATACTTTCTTTTATAACAGTGCAACATTGTTAAAGAATGTGTTAATGAGTCTGGCAGTCTAACTTTTTAGCATTAGTTTTGTGTTTAAAATCTTGGCCCATTCTGTGGCAAACTCAAACATATGTTGCTTGAGAACTGCCACTTCAAAGTGTGCCCTCCATTACATTATGTAGATTTAAAGGACCCACTCCAGACCCTTTTACTGACCCACAGCCATTCTCTGTGCTCAGAAACCCAGGGAACGGAGCTATTTTAAGGAATAAAGAAATGTTTCAGCAGCACATAAACAATGCCACTGGGATCTTGCAGTGATACATAGCCTTGAAATGGCACTCTAACCCTTTCACCCCAGCACTGCCCATAGCATCTGTGTGGAGTTGCTTGGCAACTGAGGTTATTAATCTTTAGCGGTCTGCTACATCCAATAGTTTTACCAGCTGGTTTTTACATTAACCAGTAGGCGCTTTCCAGCAGAAAAGAGGTTAACGAGAACGTTGAAATATATACGTATCTTACACAATACAAACCTACATCTGTTTTGGTATGATGAGAAATAACCACATTATTATCATCACACCACAGTTTATACAGATTTAACATTTCATTTCATGATATAATGCCTTACGGTTATGGACTATAGTTATGGACACATTAACCCTTGCATGACCCTTTTAGTGGCCTAGGCAAAATTGAGCAGCGTCAGCATGTGTTGGTTAAAGTGACACTAAACTCAGGAGTAAAACCTTAAAAATGCATTCAAGTGCCTTAACTACTAACAACAATGTACCTTATTTGTGTATCACTCAACCATAGATCCTAAGATTATTATTATATTGTTATTATTATTATAATACAAGATTTATAAAGTGCCAACAGTTTGTGCTGAGCCTTACAATATAAGTCATCTCAGAATTGGTGCTGACACTGTCCTTCCTTCTGGAGGGTGGCTACTTTTGTTCCCCATGGTCTCTGTGTCTGCTGTAAGGTAGCTAATGCTCCAAGCTCGCACCCGTGATAGACTACAATCTAGCATAGTTTCTTAGGGCGGTGTCATATATTTTGTGCATTATATCTTAACAGAACACACATATGAATGGTTGGAACTTGCTGTATAATCTATTCCGACATTCCTTTAAATGGAAGCAGGTGTCAGACTCCCACAGGTGGAGGTCGGATATCCTAGTGTTCAGAATATGTCGGACAATTTAGATAAGAAGCCGTGATTTGCCGAAACACCAGGACTGTGCTAAAACTCTTCCAAAATGTATTGACTGATTGAGGACAGATCTGTATTGCATGGGGAATCAAAACATCAATGGGTTTAAATGATAAGGCAGTTAAAAAGGCACCTATGTACATTAGGCCGTATCAATGAAATACTGTTTCCAGTTGTTTGATGTAGGTTATTGCATTTTTCATATTGTTGTTTACCTTATTGCAAAAGGGCCTATATTCTGTTTAAATACCTGCAATACAGAGGTATGGCATACCCACGGGACAACATTACATAGTAGGTGCCTACATTTTTGACTTTTTCTAAGAAAGTTAGTCATGTTTTTCAATTGTAGCCATTAGTTTTATGTAACCTTCTGCATACAATATCAAATTTGTATAAGCCTCTGCAAAGGCCTATACAAATCTTTTCTTTTTCAACATTAAAGGCTGTATTATATTATATAGTGTACTCTATAATATCTCTTTACTATTATAAAGTTTGTCATACATGTTTACTGTTTTCTTTGACAAATGATTTGTAACTCTTTTCCACCAGGCTTGTTATTTACACACTTCTGCTATGCTGTACAGCCAGAAAGATCACCCTGCTAAATCCTGACTAGACTTTACTTCTTTTTGTGTAATCTCCTTGCTGTGTAGATGGAGAGGATAATGATTGAATGTCTATTGTACAGCCTGGAGTTGACACAGGAAGCTGCAAAGCTTACCAAAGGAAATATACAGTAGGTGTCATCTGTCTAGCTATGTGGTGTAGCAGGCCGTCTGCATCAGACGTTTGACTTAATGGAATTACACGTCCTTTAAAAGATAAAACAGTTCACTTTTATGAATGGGCATTAATCTGGAATTCTACATTAGTGTATGCATATTTTATACAAACTGGTCACTGTATCACGTTTGTAGATTTTACAACAATGTATTAAACTTGAGATGTGTAACATGTAAAACATTTTGTTTAGGTATGGTCATAGAAGGACTGACATATTTGCAAAGCTTTTTTTGTAAATTTAGCAGTAGCATTTTCAGAATTATATTACTCCTTTTTTATAGTTTTGGTTCACTGACTAAATCATTATTTTTTTCCTTCTAGGAGAACACCAAGGAGCAGAATTATCCAGAGAATCACAGAATACAGCCCATTTGAATCTCAAAAATGGCATTTGCAAAATGGAGCTGGATTTGTGCAATCGCCCATGTCACGTTATTAGCCACAGTGTCAGCTCTCACCCAAAAAAACCTCCAGATAAAGAGAAACTTCACCACTTTCTATGCTGAGCAACCTGACTGGACTTTTAACCACTTAGTGGTTGATGTCAGGACTGGACATATTTACCTTGGAGCTATTAACAGAATATATAAACTTTCTGAAGACTTGAAGGTCTTGCTGACCCACCAGACAGGACCAGATGAAGATAACCCAAAGTGTTACCCACCTAGGATTGTCCAGCCTTGCAATGAGCCCTTGGTGTACACCAACAATGTAAACAAAATGCTGCTAATAGACTACAAAGAGAATAGGTTAATAGCATGTGGAAGCCTTTATCAAGGTATATGCAAGCTTCTCAGGCTTGAGGACCTCTTTAAACTCGGTGAACCATTTCATAAGAAAGAACACTACCTTTCAGGGGTCAATGAGAGTGGCTCAGTTTTTGGAGTTATTGTTTCTAACAACAATGATGATGACAAATTATTTATTGCCACATCAGTTGATGGTAAACCAGAATATTTTCCTACCATTTCAAGCAGAAAGCTCACTAGGAATTCAGAAGCTGATGGGATGTTTGCTTATGTGTTCCATGATGAATTTGTTGCCTCAATGATCAAAATACCTTCAGATACATTTAACATAATTCCAGACTTTGACATCTATTATATATATGGTTTTAGCAGTGGCAACTATGTTTACTTCTTGACTCTTCAACCAGAGATGACCTCTCCACCAGGCTCTACTACAAAGGAACAAGTTTATACCTCTAAGTTAGTGCGGCTGTGCAAAGAGGACACGGCTTTCAATTCTTATGTTGAGGTTCCCATTGGATGTGAGAAAAATGGTGTGGAGTACAGGCTTCTTCAAGCAGCTTATTTGTCCAAAGCTGGATTAATACTTGCAAAGTCTTTGGGAATCAAACCTGGTGATGATATTTTGTTTACCATCTTCTCTAAGGGTCAGAAAAGGCGCATGAAATCACTGGATGAATCTGCCTTATGTGTGTTTGTTCTCAAGCAGATTAATGACCGCATTAAAGAAAGACTGCAATCTTGCTACAAGGGAGAAGGTACTCTAGATCTTGCATGGTTGAAAGTCAAGGATGTTCCTTGCGGCAATGCAGTAAGTTACACTTTCAATGATTTTTTAAATCACTATTCATTTGTGCAGATATATATATATAAAATGTTCGTGTGGCCTATATATTCAAGAAAATTTTAATCAATGTGCGTTGACATTACATAGTCTACTGATTTCAAGTATTAATGCTATATTTGTAGATATTAATTAGTAAGCTTGGTCACGTATGTAGAATAAGGTATCGTATGTTTATACCTAAATATACACTGCCTTATACAAATATTCCTGGATTCTATCAGTAGAATTCAGTGGGATAAGCTCATCTTAGCTATTTGCTTTCATTGCTATTCGATTTGGGATTTTCAAAACACCAAGGTCCTATTTTTAATCAAAACACCAAGGTGCTATTTTCTATCTTTAAAACTCTAAAAGTATGTACACAAGAGCTTAAGCACTAATTTTTCCCCTTTAATTACATTATGTGACTTTTTTTGGAAGACACAGTATGCAAAGGTCAATATATTTGTTCTCAGTGGCATTTTGTATGGGGCAGACAGTGCCAAGAACAAATAGAATTTGCAGCTACCCTAACAGTAAATAAAAAGCAAAGCATCCTTTACACTAAAAACAGACAGATTAATGTGTTGTCTGTGCCTGTCCATTAAGTCAGTGAGAGTTGAGCTGTGTCTGTCCCTGCCCCATCATTTTGTAGGAGTAATGTCTAAGTTTGAGATTCCTCTTCTTGCCTTGTTTTCCATGACATTGCATTGGAGTCTAAAGTAGTATTAAACTTTCCCATTTTTTCACATAAACATTCCTATCCATCCTGCAAACATATACCAGAATGTTTTTTTATTAAAAGTGCATCCCCAGGCACTTATTTTTTAACGATTTAAAAGCCACTTGCTCCATATTCCCCAGCGCCATTTCCCTGAACTGCCAGTTGAGAGGGCAACACCTTTCAGGTGAACAGCAACAAATTTCTCAATATCTCCCCACCCACAGTTGCCAATCAATGCCTGGAGGATGAGCTTGGGAAGAGCTGGAGAGTAAGCTTCTTGTGCATGGAACATCCTGGAGGAGGAGCTGTGGAATAAGCTTTCTGTGTGGAGCAGGGGAGGAACATAGGGTTCTGAGCTACCTGCGCATGGAATGCCACTACATCAGGCTGCAATTCCAGATGGGAGTGTGTTTGTCAGGGTGGCGCCAAGGGACCCTGCAAGGGAATGGAGCCACACTGATAATAAAAGCAGAGGTTAGGGAAATTTAAAATGGAAATTACAGACAGGTGATGGCAGGAGGTAAACAGAAGGCATACAGTACACACAGTAAGTGAAGATGTATGCTGCTATATTTATTTTTAAATTGAGTGTTTAATGGCACTTTAAGGTCCATATTGGATGCAGATATTGCTTAGCAGGTCTCTTCTTAAAAACCCAGACAGCTTTCCTATTCTATGCGCATATAGTTTTTTTGCTGAATCAGGGCAAAATACAATGAAAATAGAAAAATGCAACCAAATAAATTACAAATATATTTCTCTTTATTTAAAGTGGAACTCCAACCATTCGCCTGCCATCTGCCTCCCCCTCCCAGTCTTTTTTATTAAAAAAACTATATACACTACATACCTGCACATGATTGAATGGTTGAAGTCAATAGAAATTCACTTCATTCACCAAGCTATAGAAAAATTCCCTTGGAAAGTGCAAATTTACTTTGCTAAATAAACAGTCTATACTTTACTAAAATAATCCCATTGAGTTGTGTCTAGCTGCCAAAGATTCATCTAGTATAAACAAACAGTCGTGGCCTGTGACAATATGCAGCCTTTGACAAACCTAACAGCTAGGACCTGGGTTAAAGCTTCTAACCAACAGATCGACCTTAACCCATTTTGGGTGAAGTTGCAGTTTAAGGTATGCATGGATGTTAGATGATCATCCATCACCTAAGGACCTCATCAGAGATCAGATCAAATTAAAATTCCCAGTCACTATCTACTCATTATGGCCATTAGATGATCATAAATCAACTAAAGACCATTCAGGGATCAGAAGGAATCAAAATGTCCAACCACCGTCTACTTGTTGTCGCTTTTTATAAATGTTACATTAATTTGAAGCAACTACCAGCTGTATTTAATTCTACTGAGTTAAATTATGTGGCTATAGACAGAATATGCGTGAAGTCAGAGCACCATATAGACTTTGTTTATCTGCTTTCTATCTGTTTTCTATTTAACAATATATTGCTTCTGAAACATTCACAAAATATTATGAATTATTATACTTGGCTTGAGAGTGCCAGTAACTATGCTAATAGCAAAACCGTATAGCATTATGCTACAATTATCTCAGAAACATGTATGTATTTATTTTTCCCTGTGAGCAATAAATTTATTTATAGCTGGCATCATAGGACTTATCCAAATGAGCAACTTCCCCTAATATTTTCCAGTCAAATCACATCTAAAGAAAATTACTGGTGAAATAGTGCAGGCAAGATAACTCTTGTTCTCTAGGTCAAGATATGGATACGATCTACCGAGACAGCAATTATATATTAGGGAGCAATGAAAGCTGTGTTTAGAAATTGTAGACATATTCTCCAGTCTCCTCCCATCCACCTTTTTTTGTTCACATGATATGTTCACATATGATGGTATAGTTCATACATAACATAATTCCTAGAAGACAGAACAATTTCCCAAACCATCATCCATTATTAGAGACCCCGTTTCTAGATTGTTGTGGAAAAATTGGGGATAGTTTGGAAAAAGGCATCCTTAAAGATTAACTAAGGCCAAAGTTTTTTTTTTCGTTTTTAGTTTTTGTAAGAAAAGGTTAAAGCTCATCAAAACTTTCACAATTAGGGAGGTTTTTCTTCACATTCCGTTTTGAGAATGATGGAAGATCTCTTATAAGGAAAGGAAATCCTCATTTGTCAGTGGAACAATTGTCTTCTATGGAAGGTCTCCCCTCTTCCCCTTCCTGACCCAGCGACAACTAAAAAATGTTCTCCACTTTCAGTCAAGATGGCAATAGTCCAGGATGCATAGAGAGAGTGGAGTGCAGATACAGACAATAAAAACCTGACAAAAGTTTCAACCCTTCCTTACTCAATCCAAATGAAAACCAGTATATGGCTTTAGACACACCACTGAGAGTCAGCATATGTTTGTGATATAAATGTGAGCCAAACTAAATAATCTCCCAGGACAAAAAAATAATACACTGTCTCACAATTTGCATTAAAAACAGAGGTTTTAGTTGCACAACTTTTGCAAAATATGTGGAAGCCACATTGCTTTATCAAGGCTCCTCTGTGTAGCATGGTCCCAACTCTAATATATGAGAGCCTCCATCTTGGAGCATGTATAGCAATGGATTAACTCAGTGCAGGCATGTCTGTAGGCAGCCCATTCCTCCTTAAAGGCACAAGGACACACCAGAAACCCAGCACATCACAATGGCAGCCAAAGCTCCCAGTGTGCCCACTTGCTTCACTTGATAAATGTGGGCCAGTCTGTCCAGCAAAGGTGACAGAAAAATTATAACACAGCCAGTGGTGCTTGGGCAATTGGAACAACAGTTTTTATTTTTTTGTAAAAGAATAGACTTAAAACATTGTAACCAGTGGTAATAATTTGTCAAATCCTCTCTCCATGTTGATAAAAATATAAAGTCTCATGGATACATGAAGGAACTAAAACAAAATGAACTAATTTAACACATAATATCATTACATGCAATAACTGCTTGCATTTATGTGAGCACAACATTTTTTTTACTGTAGTGGTCCTATGGATGGGAAAATAAAAAGAACCAAAGCACCGAAGGATCCTTTGTGTGTCATTCAAACAGGCTGGTGACCCTAAATTATGTGCTTTAATAAATGGACAAACTCTTCCATCTTTATGATTTGGTGTTTAAAATGTTTCTTATATTAATTACAGTATACAGATCAAATGACTACATCTGTCAAGGTGTGCATTGGGCTTATAGCCAACTGTTACCACTCTTCTCATTGCATATATGTGTATGGCCAAATCTACGAACGACCCGACTGCCCAGTGCCCAGATAAAGTGTGTAGGTCTGCTTGAGCAGGCAAAAACACATTGTGGAAAACAGTTTGTATAGCAACTGACAAACCAAAGGGACAAACAGATCAGCTGGAATAAAAAGAATAAGATCTGTAAGCCAAGCAGCCAATTGCCTGGGGTTTACACACAGTGGCAGAATAAACTTCCCCAAGTAAGAAGTTAAAAATAATTTTTCATTGATATTGTCCAATTAATGAAGGAATTACTTCCACCATTGCTTCACTGGAATAGTGAATCTCCCATGAGGGGAGATCATAATTCACTTGCAGATAGTAGCCTCTGGCAGTAAACAGGTGTCTTTATTTAAATGGAAGCTACACTCTGTTTAGTATATCTGCTGTCACTTTCACTGCAATCAGATTATCACCTCTGGCTTCTAACTCTCCCTGGGGTTATCAAGGTCACATCAAGCTGAAGATGTGCTAAAGATATCCTACCATACACTTACTACTCTCTAATAATGAAAGGATAAGCGGAGCACCACTTTGATAAAAAAGCTATTTCAAAGCAGTCCAGGAAGCACTAAAAATGTTAATATTTCTATCTGCTTAGACACTGATGTACCGCTAATGACAGGAAGCTGAATGCAGACAATGATTATAATGACCCGTAATGCACTGTAAGTGGAAGGTAAAAGAGGCTGGCATCATAAACGTGTTAAAGTAAGCATTGACGTGAGTGCAGAAAACACTTTTACTTCTGATTTAACTCACTTGTTAAAATACAAGTACTTAGAGGATAATGAATTCTGCAGATTTAAAGTTAGATTGGGAGTGATCTGTTGGGTATCAGACTGTCGATGGCTGTCTCTCTATCCTAACTGGGGTTTTCATTTTTAGACAGCAAAATTGTCCTTTGCTGTTCTCTAAATTCCATATTTCATTACCACACAGTATGCCAAAATGTACAGCAGCTATTTCAGACAGAGATGAGAGT